CACAAGCCCGGCTATTTTTTGGTTGCAGCCGTCATTGTTTGGCGGGCCCAAGCTGGATTCGAACCCGCCACCTTAGGTGTATGTGGGTGGTGCCTTAGCCACTTGAGCCATAGGCTCTGAGCCTATAATTCCATTTCATGAGCCCAGAAGCAACAGAACATGTTAAAACCAGGTCTTGCCACCAATTTAAAGAAATACTTATCTGGGGGCAGCCCCCATAGCTCGCTGGGTAGGGCGCTGGCCACAGGCACCAGGGTTGGTGGGTTCAAACCCAGCTCCCACCTGCTAAAAACAAAAAAATAGCTGGGAGTTGTGGCCCGCACCTGCCATCCCAGCTACTCTAGAGGATGAAGCAAGAGAATCGCTTAAGCCTAAGAGTTTGAGCGTTAGGGTTAGTCTCAATTAAAAAAAAAGAAAAAGAATGAAATGCTTATCTCTCAAGAGTTCAGAATTCAGCCTGGCACTGTGGTTCAGGCCTTGTGATCCTGGCACTATGGGAGGCAGAGTTGGTTGGATTGCCTGAGTTGAGTAGTTCCAGACCAGCCTGAGCTAGAGCCAGACCTCGTCTCTGAAAAAGATTTCCCAGCTAGGAGCAGTGCCTGTGGCTGAGTGGGTAGGGCACCTGCCCCATATACCGAGGGTGGCAGGTTCAAACCCGGCCCCGGCCAAACTGCAACAAAAAAGTAGCTGGGCATTGTGGTGGGTGCCTGTAGTCCCAGCTACTCTGGAGGCTGAGGCAAGAGAATTGCCTAAGCCCAAGAGCTGGAGATTGCTGTGAGCTGTGACTTTACAGCACTCTACCAAGGGTAACAAAGTGAGACTCCTGGGCGGTGCCTGTGGCTCAGTAAGTAGGGCCCAGGAAGCTAAGTTACTACATATTCTTAAGAGCTGAGTCACCATGGGGAGGACCTCTCCGGTGTATCCTTAGGGTCTCCTTGAGAAGACTTCTGTTTTCTTAAACCTTACTTTTCCCAGATATCCTCTCTCATTGCCCCCTGGAGACTCCATATATATTTTAATTTGGGGGTCTCACTATCAGCTTGCTTCTGTAGAACCTAGTAGTGTTTCACATAGAACCCATGTGATGTGGGTTTTGTTGTTTGTTTGTTTTTTATTGACATTTGTCCCTATTATCCAGCATATAGCCCTGACTACTAGTGAGAGGACACAGGGAATAATTAAGCTAACTCTGGTGATGGTTCACACTCCTTCCAGTAAGGTTTTAAATTTTCTTTCTTTTTTTTCTTTTTTTTCCTTTTGACATAGTCTCACTATGTCGCCCTCGGAAGAGTGCGGAGGCATCATAGCTCACAGCAACCTTTAACTCTTGGGCTTACGTGATTCTCTTGCCTCAGCCTCCCAAGTAGCTGGGACTACAGGTGCCCACCACACCCAGCTACTTTTTGCTGTAGTTGTCATTGTTTAACTGGCCCAGGCCAGGTTGGAACCCGTCACCCTTGGTATATGTAGCTGGCACTGTAACTACTGTGCTATGGGCATGGAGCCAGGTTTTAAATTTTCTAAGGGTTAAAAACCAGTCTTTCCATAGTTTTTGAGGGCTTCATCCTTGTAAATCTGCACCAGGAGATAGGCCAATGTCTGGGTTTTTCTTTCCTATGTCTCCTATGACTTTTTTGTTTTGAGACAGAGCCTCAAGCTATTACCCTGGGCAGAGTGCTGCAGTGTCACAGCTCACAGCAACCTCCAACTCCTAGGCTTAAGCGATTCTCTTGCCTCAGCCTCCCAAGTAGCTGGGACTACAGACACCCGCCATGACGCATGGCTATTTTTTGGTTGTAGTTGTCATTGTTTGGCAGGCCCAGGCTGGATTTGAACCCACCAGCTCTGGTGTATGTGGCTGGTGCCTTAGCCACTAGAGCTACAGGCGTGAGCCATCTCCTATGACTTTTACTTGGTAATTAATTTGCAAGACTAGTTCCAGGGGTTACACTGACAAACGGAGCAGTATGGCTCCACTACTCTTTTGTGAATGAGATATTTTTTATTTTTTCTTTTCTTTTCTTTTCTTTTTTGCAGTTTTTGGCTGGGGCCGGGTTTGAACCCGCCACCTCTAGTATACGGGACCAGCGCCCTACTTCTTGGAGCCATAGGCACCACCCCGAACGAGATATTTCTTTTGCTACAGTCTTCACTGTCTCAGGTGCCTTCTGTTACACATTTTTACATTCAACCTCTTACTACTTTTTTTTGGGCGGGGGAACAACAGAGTCTCACTTTGTCACCCTCAGTAGAGTGCCATGGTGTCATAGTTCACAACAACCTCAAACTCCTGGGCTCAAGTGATTCTCTTGCCTTAACCTCCCAAGTAGCTGGGACTACAGACCCCTACTACAATGCTCAGCTATTTTTAGAGTCAGGATCTTGCTCTAGCTCAGGCTGGTCTGGAACCTGTGAGCTCATGTAATCCACCCACCTCGGCCTCCCAGAGTGCTGGTGTTAGGTGTAGGCTATGATGGAAAAATAACTCCTGGCAAATTTCCGGACCACAAGCTTTAAAAATAAGTAAGTCCAGTTTACTCCCCAAAGATAAATGAGAAAGTACTAATTAATTTCTTGCTTCTAGTTCATTCCCAGTTTCTTGCTTGGCTAACTCCTGGGCCTGGGAAACAAACTGATTGTCCCCAAACTGACCTTTAAACAATACCAGATGTATGAGTACTGAGACAAAGATACATGGAGGAAAAGTACTGAAACTAAGACGTATAAGGGAAAATATTAAACCAAAGATATTAGAAAATATTAAAACAAAGATGTATGACTTATAGCTAACTAACTGCAAAATTCTGCTTCTGTACAATGCTTGCTTGCTACCCCACCCAAATGCACCTGGACAGCCTGTGTGCCAACTGGGATGCAGACCAAGCCTTAAAAACCTGACTCCTGGGACAGCGGCGGCGAGAGGATGAACAACAAGTTCGACGCCTTGAAAGATGATGACAGTGGGGACCATGATCAGAATGAAGAAAACAGCACACAGAAAGATGGTGAGAAGGAAAAAACGGAACGAGACAAGAATCAGAACAGTAGCAAAAGGAAGGCTGTTGTCCCTGGACCAGCAGAGCACCCCCTGCAGTACAACTACACTTTCTGGTATTCCAGGAGAACCCCTGGCCGTCCTACCAGCTCACAA